TATTTTTGAAACTTTAAAAATAATTGTCAAATTTAAATTTGATAAAAAAAGTTTTGTTAAATCGATAAAGTTGATTTTTTTTCCTGCTAAATGACTTTTTTTTATCGATAGTTCAAATCAATATACCATAAGCCAAGAACTTCAATTTAACATGGGTTAAACTAAATTATATACCAAGAAAAATATTTCATCTCATATAAATTGGTTTTTGAAATTTATTGAGTAGCCAGTTAAAATATATATGAAAAGATCTGTTAATTTTTTTTGAAAGCTTAAAAATAATTCTTAAATTTAAATTTGATAACAGGGCTGTGTTATATAGATAAAGTTGATTTTTTCCTGCTAAATGACTTTGTTTTCTATCGATAGTTCGAATAAATTTACTTTATGTCAAATACTTCAATTTAATATGGATTGAACTAAATTGTATACACAGAAATATTTCGTACCTCAAGTGTTTTTTAGAATATTTTGATAAATAAAACAAAAATTTGCCAAAAAATATATTTACTAACTATATTTAAAATATAGAATTTATTCGTTTCAACTTTTGTAAAAATAATTTAATGATGTTTTTGATAAAACTCATAATTTTACTAAGAAATAATAGTCGAATTTTTTTGTTAATTTCAAAAGAATCTTTTGATAAATACAATTAAAATATTTCGCTATATTAAATATTTATGACAATTATGTAAAAAATCAAATATTTCTTTGATTAAATTTTGGAAAAAAGTATGATGATGTAGTTTCTATTTTTGTGTTTTTATATATACATTCTTCTTCTTCATTGGAGCAACAGCCTCATGGTGTACAAGGCCGTCTACCTACTGGCAGATTTCGAGACAGGAGATGCTTTCTTTTTACGGTGTAAGGTTGACAGCATTACGCCCAGCGCTCTACAGTCATATTAGACCGGGACCCACAGTTTAAAGTGGATTCAGAACTAAAGGCATCCATGGTATCGCCGGGACCCGAAATCGAAACTGGTTTCACTCAGCCCTAGTCAGTCGACCATCAGGCACCATATACACACGCATGTTGTTGTTTCTTATCCCACTTGGTATACATCTATACCTATAGATGTATCTATACCATCTAGACATATAACAGAACTGCCCCCTTTTCCCTTTAACCATGAGTCCATACGAACCCGTATGGACTCATTGTTAAAGGGAAAAGGGGGCAGTTCTGTTGTGGTGGAACACCTATAGGTAGAAATCTGACTTGGTTTCGTGGCGCTCTACAGTCATATGAGACCGGGACCTACGGTTTAAAGTGGAATCTGAAGCACTACAAACATCCATGGAACAGTCGGGATTTGAACCCGAAATCTGTGATACCGTATTAATATGAAAATAAAGGAATACTAATGAGGGATAAAGTAGAGATATGACCATTTTGCACTACAAAATCCACACAGTATTCACTATATGCAAACTGTATAACATAACCTAAATAGTATTTACAATACAAAAACCTTAAAACGCCTTACATTCAGACCTTTTGAAAAATAAATGATACAAAAACGGATTAATTATTCAAGATCTGTTTATAACGTATTGTCTATATATACATAATCTATTAATTTATATACAGATAGATTACAACTTACCAGCTTTATATTGCAACAAGTCACGATTCATCACCATTTTTCCTCGTGCTTTTAACGAGAAGTATTTTTTCCCCCCTTGATTTCACAACCCTATTTCGTAATATATAATTCAAAATAAATAATGGATCGCCTTAACTTACGAACCTCATGATTCTCATTAAAATAATCATCATCGGCAATTTTAATAAGCTCCGATCTGCTTTCAAAAAAGAGAATCACAATTCGAGCCCTTTCAGAAATATAATGAATCTCCGATAAAGATTTGCTTCATTAAATAAATTGTTTATTGAATAATCGGTGCGGCCAAAAATTAAGATTCTGCTTGTTTTCTTGAAGCTCATTTCATGCAACTTAAAATCGATAAATCTCTCCTTCATTATACAATGTATTTATCACTCGTTATATTAAATTTTGATTTTCTGGTTTAATTATTATTAAGGTAGATTAATTTTCTTATGGTAAGCGATAAAAAAATATAAAAAAATATTTGTAAATATATTTCCTTAATATATTTTAATCGCCAGGTTACTATGATTTTAAACATTTTGGATACTAAGCCACATACGTATTGATATCATTTCAAACAGTAATTTTTTTACAATTACTTTTATTTTATGCTAATAGATAAGATTTAATATTGTCTAATTAAAGAAAATAAGATACGTTAAACCTCACTAATCCTCAGTGTGCAGGGATGGAGATCCCATGAGTAATCTACTCATGGATGGAGGGAAAAGGGAGAACGGCTTCTGTTGTGATGGAGTAACCGTAGGTAGAAGTCTGACTGGGCTCCGTGCCACTGAAAAAAGAGGGCAGTGCCTTCTGGGAGAACTTTTACGAGGAAATACCTTTCCATTTGTGTATCGTATGGAGAAAACACTGAAAACTCCCACCAGAGAGTTCGATTAATGGGGCAATATCCCAAAATATCCCAAACGTCATCGAGTCTCGTTTTTTGAAACAGTATCTACAACAAAGCCGTCAGCGGATTGAGCATTAGCCCTCATGCTCACCAGCGGCGCACATTGCCACTGAGCCACGAATCAGGCAGTAAAGTGTGGTAAGATAAACAAATACTATTTAAATCAAAGTTTTTGAAATCAACTCTGTTCAGCTTCACATAAGGGGAAAAAAGAAATTGAGAAATTAGAAATTGAATCTTGCTTTTTTTTTAATAAAAGGAATAAATAATATATATCTTTTAATTGGTACTGACTAGCCCCACTATCAATGTCCCAGGTTTCGGGTTCGAGTCCCGGCAGTGTCATGGATATTTGTGGCTCATAATCCATTATAAACCGTAGGTTGCGGACTAATATGAATGCAGAGCATTATGTATAGGGCTAACAACCCTATCCTGTAAAAAGAAAACATCTCTTGCCACGAAATCTGCCAGTAGGCTGGCGACCTTGGCCCACCATGATTGGTTTGGTTTGGTTTGCCGTTCTACGGTCATCTTCTGCGCACGAGGGCTTAACAGACCGGGAGCTACAGTTTAAGGTGGATTCGGAACCACTATAAACATCCATGGCACCGCCGGGATTGTCCCGCCATGAGGCTCTTTCGACGATGAAGAAGAAGGAATGAAATATATCCTTCGATAATACAACCAGTACCAAAGGTAGTTACCGATTTAGCAGCAAACCATGGAAGTGTTGAGAGACAGCTCTCAGTACTGAGGCCTTTACAAAGCTGTCTTGAATCACAGTGACAGAAGATATTCTATTTTTAAGAACAAATAAGTTTTAGTGTATTACAAATCTAGTAGATTAAAATGTACAAATTTGTTTTAGTTGTCTTCAGTTGTACTGTCTTCAGTTATACTTAATTTGGTACTGTTATTTTTATAACGTATGTGCATTTTTTTAATCAAATTTAGAGTAAAAAGTGAGTGCAAATGCTACTACACTTTTAATGTTGCAAAAATATTTTGTTCTTGCAAAAACGTTTTCGAAAAACTAAAAACAAAAAATTAAACAAAATTTTTCGGACTACCTCGAAATCTCCCAGTAGGCGAAGGCACATGGCTGTTGCGCCGATAAAAAAGATATCCTTAAAATAATTGAAATTAATTTCAAAAAAATAGTTCGAAGTCATTCGAAATTTTCTAAATTCAACAAAAATATCTAAATTTAATTTCGTATTTAATTTCATATTTGAATTGAAAAAGTTCGCATTAATGAATTCTGTTTGACTTTCGCCAAAATGTTTTTTAATTTAAACTTACAATAATCAGTATTCCGTAATATATTATCTGAAGCTGTTTTTTTTTTTTCCCTTCGTTTTAATAATTTAAATTAAACTAATTAATTCAGGGATCTTTAAAAAAATTACGTTTATTTATCAAAGAATAACAAATAAACGAAGTCTTCTTTAGAACTAAGAATGAAAATTGCGAAATTAAGCATTGGGTTTCTAAGCAAAAGACAAATACATGTGTATATCTATATCTATCTATCTAGATCTATCAATCTATCTAACTTTAACAAAAATATTTAAATTTAATATCGTATTTCATTTCATATTTGAGTTGAAAATGTTTGCATTTATTAATAATTCTATTTGTCTTTCGTCCAATTTTTCTTTAGTTTAAGTTCAAAATAATGAGTATTACGTAAAATATTATCGTGGGTGGTTTTTCTCCCTTTCTTTTCTACTAATTTCAATTAAAATAATTCATTAAGTCATCTTTAAAAAATAATTTACTTTTATTTATCAGTCTGCTTTAGAACTAAGAAAAAAAATTCCGTAATTAAGTATTGAGTTTGGAAGCAAAAGAAAAATACATATGTATATACAGAGTGATTATAATTAAAGTCCCACTTTCAAAATGCTGTAAAAAAAAAAGAAACACTCGTCACTATGAGTTCAAATTTGAACTGAAGATACTTGAAAAAGGGGGAAACGGTACGGCATCAAAAAAGAGTTCCACCGATTTTTCCCATCCAATTGGATATGACCTTTTGCCATGTTGGATGGGTTTTCCACTAATAATGTCACAACTGGTGAAGGACTTGGAAGTTCTTTTTCCCATTAAAAACCCGTAAAAAAATTTCCGCTAACAATCCAGCACATTGAATACTAGAATTGGTTTAATGTGCAACTCATGCCAAATACATTGTCATTTCGATTCAAAATATAACTGGCAGCCGAATTCACTTATTTATGCCGCTTACAGCGCCATCTATTAATACAATTTGGAGCGTTTTTGACGCCGTACCGTTTCCCCCTTCTTCAAGTGTCTTAAATCTAAATTTGAACTCATTGTGAGGAGTGGTTCTTTTTTTACAGCATTTTGAAAGTGGGACTTTAATTATAATCACCCTGTCCGTCCGTCCGTCCGTCATATATGAATATATATATCTATTACATTTCCTTTTTGGCCAACGGCCATACCATGCTGAATATACCGGTTCTCGTTAGATCACCGAAGTCAAGCATCATTGGGCGCGGTCAGTACTTGGGTGGGTGACCACCTGGGAACACTGCGTGCCGTTGGCATTCACAAATTTGGGACCTGAATGGCCGAGTGTTTAGCGCTCTGGCGCTCGGTGCCACAAGTTTCGGGTTCGACTCCCGGCGGTGCCATGGATGTTTGTAATGGTTCGGAATCCACTTTAAGCCGTAGGTCCCGGTCTCCTATGACTGTAAGAGCGTCAAGGAGCCAAAGTCAGACTTCTACCTACGGGTACTCCATCACAACAGAAGCTGCTTCCTTTCCCTTCAATCATGAGTACGTATGGGCTCGTGGGCTTGGCCAGGCAAGTGGGATAAGAAACAACAACAACAACACATTTCCTTTGCTTACTGTCTTTCGCTTATATATATATGCTTATATATATATATATATATATATATGCTTATATATATATATGCTTATATATATATATATATAACGATCAAAAAGCAAGATGCCATTAATGCGAAGGGGAAATGCAGCAAATACTTTTAAAATACAGCTTCTAGAACTTTACAATACCATTTGCCCAATTTTTATATTGCACCGGAAGAAACGTTTTATATGTTATATAAGTGGATTTTAAATTGCATCTTCGAAATTCTTCTGAGGGCTAATGGCTATTTATTTCTCTTTTTACGAGAGCAAAGTTGGAAGGAATTTTGCTTTCGAGACTTTGCAAGAATAAGAATAGAAGGGCTTTTCAGTGCTTCTTAATATATAATTTTCTTTTCTTTCTTTCTTCCTTTTTTGTCTCAAGAGAATATCGTTATTCAATATGCATCTATGCCCTTCCTCATTTTTTTGAGGAATAAAGAGAAAAAAAAGCTTTTCAAATATACAAACGATATTTTGTTCAATTTATATATGTATTTCTTAAAAGTAAAACGGCAATGTTTTTTAAAAGACTTCACGTGCAGTAATGGTGTGCGATAAATTTTTATCGTAGTAGTTACTTATCTTTGGAACTTTTAGAAAGATATAGAGAACTGGATCGGATGGTCTCTATGCTTGAGCTTGACTTAAAAAATATAGCATTTGAAGGTAAATTTTTGTTCTCTGATTTAATTATTTCGTTCTGAAAAATTATTGGCAAAAATTAAGAAAAAAATAATTATTTTTTAATTACATAATAACCTTATTGACATAAGATTTTCAATACACCAGATGATTCCACCCTTAAAAATTGACTATCCTCATTAGTTAAGGTATTGTTAAAAATAAATAAGGTAAATCAAGGTGCAGTATTATTTTTCAATTTATTTTCAATAAACTTACTGAATTTTCTCTTTGACATGAAACATTTAATCAGTTTTATTTTCTAAATCCGGGAAAGGCTAGATTATATGTGGCGTTCATCTATTCACGGCTTCAATTTACATACAAATTTTCCCAAAATTGGCAGGGATACTTTTAATACAAAACCGATATCAATTGAAAAAAAAATCGAAATTGAATTAATATTCATTAAAATATTACCCAATTTATGATAAATTAGGTACAGCTTACTAAAACATACATTTTTTGCATAGAAATATATGGTATGTATGGTTTCTCGAAACAGCCAGGAACAATTCACCAAATGATACCAATTATGTTCCGAATTTCAAGATCTCTGGCTGGAAACCCTGATACGCACTGATTTTGCAAATGTTTTGAATTTATGAGACTCAAGTTGACTCAATTGAGAACAAATTTGACGTCAAATCTTATTGTTTGATTGCCAAGCGGGCTAAATGCCTGAATGTTTTGAACTGTTCGCCAATCACTCCTTTGACCCTACCAAGCCTGTATTATAGTTAGTAGTCTCAATTTTGAGCATTTATTGTAAATATTCAATCAAAGAAGCACTTTGCAATGATGTTGTAAAAAAAATATTTTTTTTCTTTTCGTGACTCATTTTTGGGTTCGTTCCTCAACGCGTCACTTCCGACCCTACATCTCTATTAAAAAAATGTATGTTTCAGTTAGTTGTACCATCCCTCAAAGAATATTCCATTATCGTTGAATCATTATATATATATATATATATATATATATTTCTAATGCAGTTGGCAATATAGAGATAGTTAATCTTTATGCCAAAGTAAGGGCTGCACCGCTGTTACTCATTTAGCACTACTCAGGGGGCACGTGTAGTTTGAAGATATGATACGAACTGAGTAACACTACCACCACAACGCTATACGATCATATTACACCTGCACCTACTGTTTAAAGTGAATTCCGACCCACTACAGACCTGCATGACACCGCCAGGACTCGAACCCGAAACGTGTGGTACCGAGCACCAGAGCACTGGCGACACGGCGATTTTTACTATATCTCCATATATATTGAGGTATGTAACGAGATATAATAAAGACATATAAAACGATATGTATGTATATATAACGATATGTATCTATGTATGTATAGCGATATGCATGCATGTATATGTATAACGCATATATGCATGTATGTTTAACGATATGTATGTACGTAACGAGAGTGATAAAGCGGGGTTAAGTAGTTCTGCCGTTGCCAGCTGTAAGTATATGCCGTTGCCAGTTGCCATGATTTCGGGTTATTAATAAAGTAAATCATTATTTGCTGAAGTAAATACGAAAAGCAGTCTGGGTCAACAGGAAATTTATCTCTGTTTTGAGACATATACACCGTTGCGAAAGAACCTTTCGGCCGCACAAAATTGAACACGTGTTGACAGATAAAAACCTTTGATAAAATAACACTTGTGGAGAGAGCACACTGTGATTTCTTAAATGTCTGTGTCGGTCTGATTCGTGGTGTGATAACGGCTGCCAGGAAGGTAAATAGAACTGAAGTTTATTTGTACTTCATTAAGGAAACGGCACTTCAGTTACTGGCCTCATAAACAAATATTACTATTTCCAGAAACGTAGTAATATTTTACTACCGCTGATTAAAGTTTTAACTGTGTATCTAGTATGGCCTGACAGTGATTCGCCATGATTTTTTTAGCAGATGTTGCAAAAATGAAACAGTAAACTTGATCCAGGTTTTGTTCAATAAAAGAACTTAAACATTAGAAAAATATTTCAATTTTTCAAATGTATTGCAAACTAGAAGATTGAAATATTTGTCAATAATATATTATCCTGCATGCACACTACTGCATGTTTTATTTATTTCTATAATAAAACGCCAAAAAGCGTGTTCACATTTAAAATTGTTGGTGTTGTTGCTGAATAATATATTAAAAGGAGAAAACCTGCTTGAATCCCTGCATATTAGTGACAAACATCATTACAGCATGAATATCAAAAAAATAAATAAAAATTATTTTACTAATCATTTTTGAGCTTCGTTACTACAAATATAAAATCATCTACTAATATATTTATAGTATTAAAACTTGTGCAACGTCATATTCCTTACCTACCTCTTTATCTATATTATCTATTCTTTATTATACATATGAAATACAAATTTATATATATATCACGAAATGACAGTTGACAGCTATAAGAAGCTGTTTCCTGTGTTGTTCTGTACACGTAAAGGCTTTTGTCTTAAAGACTATTTTGGGTTGCAGTATTCACCAGACATACCCATTGGTGCTTAGATGTATTATTTATTAACTTTCTATTATTTCCATAAACAAACTTTTTGTAGTGCAAGATATTTTAATCGTGTGTTTACAAATATACCCTTTTCCATGTGCTAACCATTTGTAACAATGTATTTTTGAAATAAGGGGCCTGGATGGCTGAGTGGCTAGAGCCCTGGCGCTCGGTAAAACAGGTTTCGGGTTTGAATCGCGGCGGTTGTCATGGATGTTTGTAGTGGTTCGGCATCCACTTTAAATCGTGGGCCCCGGTCTATCATGATCTTAGAGTATTGCAGGGAATATTGTTACCCCGCGTCCGCAGCTTATCTTTAAGCTACACGCACCTCCTGAGTAGTGCTAAGTGAGTAACATCGGTGTAATGCTTGCCTTAAGACATACTTAAAAGACAACTGTCTAAGTGTTTTTCCAGCTGCATTGGTAAAAAAAATATATTTAAATCGTGTGTTGACAAATCTGCCCTTTCCCATATGTTAACCGTTTGTAACAATGCGTTTTTGAAATATGTTTAATTGCAATCATATGATTGCAAGACACACACTTATATATATATATATATGGTACTTACGTATTAACGATACCTTGGCGACAGACTTGGTGGTTTTTAAGTGTCGCCAATCTAACAGCTGCTGATTTGGCGGTTTTTAAGTGGCGCCAATCTAACAGCTGCAGATTTGCTGAGTTTTGACGCCATTTTGTAGTGCTACGAAAACGCGTATTTGGGATTTAACAGAACAAGATGCAGTTTTATTTTTTCAGGAGCGAAATATTTTACCAAAACAACGAAAATGTCCCAATTCCCATGACATGAAACTTTATTTTGGTGAACGTAAGTTTTGGAAATGCAATTTCAGTCAGTGTGCTTATCGTGGGGGACTTAGAAAAGACAACTGGTTTCAGGGAAGCAGAATTCCATTTTGCACAGCTTTGAGATTCATATACTGTTGGTGCGAGGAGTTGACCTCTAATTTTGAAAGCGTTTTGATTTTAAATGAAGTGTTTTATATATTTTATTATTTGGAATACAAATATTTTGAAAGCGTTTTGATTTTAAATGAAGTGTTTTATATATTTTATTATTTGGAATAAAAATATTTTGAAAGTTTTGATTTTTTGTTTATATATTTTATTATTTTAAATGAAGCGTTTTTGTGTTTTATATATTTTATAATTTGGAATAAAAATATTTTGAAAGTGTTTTGATTTTAAATGAAGTGTTTTATATATTTTATTATTTGGAATAAAAATATTTTGAAAGCGTTTTGATTTTAAATGAAGTGTTTTATGTACTTTATTATTTGGAATAAAAATATTTTGAAAGCGTTTTGATTTTAAATGAAGTGTTTTATATATTTTATTATTTGGAATAAAAATATTTTGAAAGCGTTTTGATTTTAAATGAAGTGTTTTATATATTTTATTATTTGGAACAAACATTTTGAAAGCGTTTT